GGATGAGGCATGGGCAGGAAACCCTACCTCGGAGCCATTTCGCAAGCTCGAGCGACTGGTGGCAATTGTGGTACGTGCTCATCGGTGCAGTGAAGTAAACGTTTTGTTTAACAAACCCCTCTGACCAGCGCGGACATGAGGCGATGGCGATGGAAGCCGATCCCACCGGGGCAACGCTGACCCAAGCGCGCGACGCGCTTCGTCAGTACCTCACGGCCAAGCTGCCCACCGCCATGATGCGACACGCAGCCAAACACATCGGCCATCTTGTTGAAAGCGGGGCGTCCGACCCGTCACATGGTGAGCCTGTCGATCCAGTTGAGGCGGCTCTATTGGAGGCTGCTGAGGCCGCGGGCTCTGGTGGAGACGCTCAGAAGAGTGCGCGAGATGGGGCCAAGGGTGGCGGGCGTGGTAGGAGTAGTGGTACACTGGCTGAGTCGAGTAGAGGACGCCCCGTGATACGTACGTTCCTCCGATGTGTCTGATATTAGGCTACTGAAAAGTCATCACTGAAATCTAGGTATACCAGGTGGGAACGCGCGAGTGCCTTCGCCAAGGGGCTCCGATCGAAGCCCAAGCACCCCAGAAACATCGCAAGGAGGCCACAAGCCTCCAGCGCAATTTCCTCGACGCTCCGATGGTCCGACCACCCCCCGCGTGCAATTTGAGATCCAGGTCCCCAGAGTGCCGCCACCTCCGAAGGCGACCGCGCAAAGCAATATCCCCGCGCCGGATGATGGCGATGTCCGGAAGACGCGAAGCCGTGGCGGCAACAAGGCCACCACTGGCACGTCGGGTCGGCCTGGCGCTGAGGGCATGGACGGTCATGGGGGCTCCGCATCGCGTACTCCATCCGGTGGGGCCGCTCGCAGCAGTGCCAAGGCAAAGAATAAGGGAAAGGGTAAGGAGCGTGCAGGTGGGTTGCGAAAGGGCGCGCAGAAGGAGGATGCGGAGCCTGTCGATGAAGAACTTGGGTGTAGCGTCGACGAGGAGAACGAGCCGGACAGTATCGCGCACGTCTACCTCCGTCCGAAGACGACGACCCAGCCAGCTCCCGCGCGGAAGGAGTCGAAGGGAGACGATGTTTGGGTCACTACCCAGGTTTCAGTAAGCAGCTGTGTACATCTTACGCTTCCTGCATCCATCTAATGCGGTTCATAGTGCGACCAGTGCCAGAGAGACGGTATTGATGCCTACAACAACTGCTCATGGAAAGTCCATCCGCCGAAGGGGTCGAGGCGATGTCAATCATGCGCCAACAAGGGACGTAAGTGTCGCGTCCGCGATCAATACCCAGAGCCGGTGCTCTATGGGCTCCTCGCCAGCACGCACGAAATTCTTTCGAAGACGAAGCCTGCTCGCGGCATAGCAGCAGGGAAACGGGTCAGGGTATTAGTGGATGACGTCGAGATCTCACACACACATGTCCAGGCCAACGAGGGTTCGGCATCCGAGCGGGAGGACGTCGATACGCCGATGGACGAGGCAACACCGAAGGCAAAACGCCGTATCTCGGATGGCCGTCCCGAAGGTAGCGTGGAGCGGAAGAAACGAAAGCATGGCGAGTCCGAGGGGAAGGGCGAGAGTGTCCCATCCGTGGATGATGGTGAGGATATTGGTGGGTCATATCTGCGGACCCACGAACTGGAATGCTGACGGGACGAAATAGTGATGCAGTCTGTGGGCGATAGGCCGTCCACGGCTTCAGTCATGGCCGTAGATGGCGGGAGCGGTGGAGTCGTGTCTGGCAGCGCATCTAAGCCAAGTGGTGGGTGTTCGGCTTCGTTCATAGCGTTGGAGTCCAATGTCGAGTGCTAATAGCTTCCATCAGGTGCGCACCAGACCCCCGAGACAGGAACGACGGTGAACGACGCGTGGACGGTCGCCCGTCGTTCCGGTGAGTTCGTTTTCACTGGGTGGGTTATGGGTGGCATTAACGGATGGATTAGGAATTCCGACATTCGCCTCCATTCAAGATGTCATTCATTTGCGGTCATACCAAGAAAGCCTCCGGACGAACCTCTCGTTTGTCTCCGAGGTCGTCACCAGCGACCATGACAGGCTGGCTAGTGTTCAAACTACGTCGGAGGAGGCTATGTACATTGCGTCCCAGGCACGGGAACGGGCGTCCGACCTGGAGCGACGAATGGACCAATTCATCAGAGGGACGTATATGGCGACTCGAGCATTGGAGGATCCCGTTCGGTATCTCGGCGCCATGCTGGAGGAAGAGGTACGGCGCCAACCCAACGACTCGGAGATGGCACGATGGAGGGAGATTGCATCTGCGGCGCGATTGACGGATGAGCGTTTGAAGGAAGCGCTGCAGATGATGGAGCCTGCCGCGCAGGGTGCGTCCATGCATGTCAGTTACTCACATTGCGACCAATGGCGCTAACGTCGCAACTACAGGATTGGGGCTCTCTATGGCCAGCAGGAGCAGCATGCGATCATCACTCGAAGACGACGGTGGTGCGCAAGGTCACGACGACAGGGACCCCCATCGGCCATCCACTACACCCATCGGGACGCCGCGTATTGTGTCTCTCAACTCCCCAACCATCGCCACCCGATCCGATGCAGTCGCGCCCTCTCCATCGAGTGCGGGTGCGTCCTTGAGCATGGTACACGATGCCGGACAAACTCCAGCAGCATCGCCACCTGCATCCCATAGCACAGAGAGTCGCGGTAGCGTTCCATCTCCATTGGCAAACTCACCGGACGCTCACGACTGGGGGATGAACACCTCCAACCTATTCGAGAGCGAGGACAGCAACATTGAGGACTGGATGGCATCGATGGGGGGGCCTGGAAACGATGGCGACGCGCAAGCTGTGGAGGCAGAGCTTGGCATCGACTCGTGAGGTGCGTCAAGTGCGAGTGCGCGTTCTGGCCGAGTGAACGAGGCTGTCCTGCATGTTAGTTACGACCTTGGACTATGCGATGAATGTAGACTAGCGCAAACCTCATGGACCACATATCCGGTACCTCCATAAGCCCCATCCGTGACCGTTCGTCGGGCAGGCATGGATCGGAGGGCTCGAGGGGTACACCTGTGCTAGATGTCCCCATGACACGTCATGCGGGCGATGGGTAGCCGTGGGGATGCTCCGAACATCGCTTGCCATCGGCCAATGCCCACGTAATGGATTCCAATGGGATTATGCGCACACCCGCGGACATGCTCACGCGATGCGGAGGTCATCCAGCCTGTGTTCACGTCAATGTAGCGATGACCACATGTGTATATTAACATGACTGTTTTGACTCTGCAGGCCAAGCGTAACTACACGGACTCAATGTGTTTGAGTACAAAGAGGCAGAACCACGATGCTGCGCGTCAATAGGAGAATTGTATGAGGCCGTGCTGATTCAACGGGGCCATCAGGGTGGCTCGGGTGGACATGGACACCACGACACAGCATTGTGCACCTTAGAGGTGAACGTCTGGACATGCTTCAGGGCAGATGACTGCGGTCTAAATAGAATACTCAATGCCGTTATGAAAGTAAGATATAATCCCACCGTTCATGTACAACACCGAGTACTCGTCATAGCTTACGCTCGTAGGGGGTTTGTCGAATGTAGTCGGTGCTGCCCTACACATAATGGGGTCACGGTGGAGGGGTACTCAGTCCGTAAACGTCCATCGTTGCCCCACAGTGACTGGTTGAGGAATACGCAGGCGCTGCGGAAGCACGAATCGTCCGGTCAGACGGAGATAGCAGCCGTAGCAATATCGGTATCGCGGCGCCAGGTGGACGCCTTTCTTGAAGTGAATCCACACCTAGGCGTTGGGCAACGTCTCGTCCCTGTTCTCAGTAAATGGAACATACGGGATGTGCAATGCAACAGGCTTGACCGGGTCCTTCCATCTTGACCCGCAGATGGCGCAGAACCCACGGCAAATGTTGGGAATGCGATGGAGCCCCTCCGGCAGCTCGATGGCCGTCTCTAGGAGTGCCCGAAATTACGCCGACTCCAACTTAACCTTACGGATAATTTCCAGCCGACTGTCCGTGACGACCTGATTTGCTACCGGGTCACTCTCTGCCAGGGGAGGTGCGATGTTCATTCACGGACGCCCATAGCATTGGACAAGGATGGACCGACCGCCGTCCCGCCATGCATTGGTCTTGCGGAGCCCATCGGTGCGATGAACAATCTTGGCGGCAATGCCTCGCAGCCCGGTGCAAATGGGCCCGGTGTTAGTGACG